CAACTTTTAAATTCCAAAACTTGAGGGCAAGTTTTGAAACATTTCAAAATATTAGGGTTTAGAATTTAAATGTACATCAAAATTAAACTATTAATCAAAATTTAAATTCCAAAACTTGAGGGCAAGTTTTGAAATCTTTTTCAAAACATTAGGGTTTCAACTATTTAAATTTCAAAACAAGAAAACTTTTGAGTTCAAATTTAAACTATAAAACCTAAAGGGGAAAATATGAAACTTTTCATAACAACAATGATCAAATAACAAATAATCTAAATTAACATTTAATCACATAATTATCCATATTTGATTTATTTAATGATTTCTTGCAAAACAATTTACCAATTTAATCAAAATAATTAATCAATTATCACATAAGGAAACAAATATTTTATTAATTGATAAATATCTTCAATTAGATCAAGAATATACTCATATACATCATAAAATCGGATTTATATTGATATAATATGATAAAGGCAAGTATCTCAAAGATAAACAGTAAGAAATCCCGAAAATAGCTCCATCTGACGCTCGAACTCGCCGAGTACCCCCATGGACTCGTCGAGTAGGGGGTAACTCGCCGAGTCAACAGTGGGACTCGCTGAGTCCATCATGCAGAACCACAAAAAACGAATTTTTTTAAGATACAAGGATCAATACAATAGAAACCAATCTAGGGTCTGATACCACTGATGGGTTTTAGTCATAAGAATATCCTATGTGCTCATACAAACTCTAATGCTTGGATCTAGGTTTGTCTATTGTACATACAAGTTATCCAAGACTATAAACACTAATTCTAGCATTCAAGTAATCATATTAATATGCAATTAGGTTTAAGATCATACCTTGATTGTTATGTAGCAATAACAACCTCAATTCCTCCTTGTATTGACTTTAGAAAGCTTAGAGTCACAAATGTCACTCCTCTAATGGTTCACAAAAACCATAAGCAAGAGGATGAAGAGGAGAGAGGATGGAGGCTGCCCAAAACGTGTTCTAACCCTAGAAGAAGCCTTTTTCACGTTTTTGAGCCTTAAGGGTTTTATATATAGTGAGGCTATTAGGGTTATCTAACAAGGAAACCCTAATTTTGATGCTTAAGCCCTAAGCAACCCATAGACTCCTTTAGTTAAGGCCTTGGATGATTTCCTTATGGGCTTCCCGATAGAATTTGTCCACTCCTTAATTTAAGAAAACCCATAGCCCAAATTGCAATTATCTTATAATTAAAATTCCAGTCCCTTAAGTTTAATTAATCTCTTTTAGTCACAAAACTAATTACTAATTAATTCTTGACTAATATTAATTAAACAATATGATTTCTCCTTTAATATATTATTCTCATAATATATTAATAAATCATATTTAATCCTTTCTCTCCATAATTCATCGTATCAAGTTGCTTTGGTGAAGGCAACCCAAAAGGACCATGCACCATCGGGTCAAGTACATACCAAAATAGTTATGGACTTAGACACTAATCCAAATGTTGTCGTAGCTACGGCTGTGGCTTCAACCATGGCCCAATATGATTCATCTGGTTCCACTGGAGGAGGAACCCCTATTCAGTCGGTTCAAGTTGAAGCTCATGTGCGCTCGAGAGACTGCTCCTATAAGGACTTCACGAACTGCAAGCCATTGTCCTTCACTGTGACTAGCAGAGTCATTGCCCTCTCGTAATGGTTTGAGAAAACCAAATCGGTTTTCGAAATCTAATCTTGTCTGGAGGATAGCAAGGTGAAGTACATTGCTTGCAACTTCGAAACTAAAGCCCTAACATGGTGGAATAGCCATGTTAAGTCACTATCTCTAATAGTGGCTAATGATATACGTTGGGTATCTTTAAATGACCTCATGATTGAGGAATACTGCCCGAGGGGTGAGATCCAAAAGCTGGAGGAAGAACTGTGGGGCCTAACCATGAACGGCTTCAACGTAGTCGCCTACACCGCCAGATTCTGTGAACTGGTGGCCCTCTGTCCCAACATGACTCCTTCAGAGGGAAAGAAAATCGAAAGATACATATGGGGACTGGTGCTGCCATACCAGGGAAATGTTTTGGCATAACACCCCAAAACATTTGATAGTGCCATGTGATTGGCACAACAGGTCATAGTCCATGGGGTTCGTACCCCGGCCACAACAACTACCCTGGCTATCTCAGAACCTGCAAGAACCGCAGATTCCAAGCGGAAGTTTTGAGATGACAAGAAGAAGGCTAAGGCTTCCAAGAAGAGGCAGGTCGTGGCAGTACATGCTACGATAGCACCCGCTGCTGCTGCTCCGATAAAGCAGCATGCTGGAAGTTTGCCTAAGTGTAACAAGTGCAACTTCCATCACGTCAGCGCCTGCCAGGAGATGCAGTGTCTAAACTGCAATGGGAAGGGGCACAACCCGTTTCTGTAAAGCTCCGGTGAAACCAATCAACCAAGCCCCCGGTGCTGGGGTGGGCCAAACTTGCTACAGATGTGGCGAGGTAGGCCACTTCAAGAGAAACTGCCCAAAGGCAGGGTTTGCCGGTGGAGCGATGTGACAACCTGAAATTTTCCATTCTAATCAAACCATTTCAATCCAATAGAAGTAGAGTAGTTACAATGAAAATTCAGACTTAGAACATAAGTTTGGCAGTTTCAGGGTTTTACACCAAAAAGGGGTATTAGGAGAGTGGTTGCACTAGGATTTTGTGCAACGCTCTAAATTCCATTACCCTAGATCATTAGAATCCATCCCGAGAATAGAAATATTTTCTGCCAAAAATCTCAGGAATATAAATAGAATTCTGAACCAAATTGGTTCATTAGTCGAATTCCATTTAGAGAAAAGCACATTTCTCTCTCACGGATCTTCGGGTTTTCATCCCAGATTGTGAGTCTACTTCCCTAGATGTGTTTTAATACTTGTTATATGCTTAATAACATTAATTACATGTCCAAAACACAAGATCCGGGAGCTTACGGTCCAAGAACGTTCTTGGGGTGTAAACTCCAAAACAAGGCCTAAAGGCCACCTAGTCCCATTTCCTTGTTAGACAACTAGTTAAGGACTTATTGTAGGATGTTTTGAGGCTAGAAACCGTCCAAGAACGTAAAGCTTTTGGAGTTTACGGCCCAAGAGTTTCTTGGACCGTAAACACCATTTCCAAGGGCCAAAGTGTGCCCTAAATGACCCCTAAGGCTTAAGGCATTTATCCTCTAATGCTTGTAGCAAATTTGGACACCAAAGCACTTCAAAATCATAAAGTTCTAGGAGTTTACGGCCAAGAAAAGCTCTTGGGCCGTAAACCGCTTTCTCAAGGGCTAAAAGTGCCCTAATCACCACCAAAGACTTGGACTCTATTTTTGGCAAATACCTCAATGTGTTTAGGACCTAGGAAAAATAAGAAAAACACAAGTATTGAAGAGTTTACGGCCAAGAGTATTTCTTGGGCCGTAAACTCCTTTAAAGGGGTCAAAGGACACCCTAAACACTTTCTTAGGCCATGAGACAATTTGGACAGCTACCTAGATGAGTTATGGACTAGCTAAAACATTTAGAACCCCATGTTTGAGGGAGTTTATGGCCGAAGATGTTCTGTGGCCGTAAACTCCAAGAAATGGTACCAAATGGTGCCATAAACTCTTCCAAAGCCAAGTACAAAATCCTAGAATTGTTTCTAGTAATTTTAGAGACTTGAAAGCACCATAATCACCCTCCCAAGGGAGTTTACGGCCGTAAACTCCAAGGGAAAAGGGTCTTTGGGCCATAAACTCCCCAAAGGAGTCAATATGGTGCCCAAACACTTGTATAAGCCTTGAATAAATTCCCACTAGATTTGTAGTAATTGTAGGCATCATTTCAAGACTTGGTTGAGAGTTTACGGCCAGGAACTTACTTCCTTGGGCCGTAAACTCCAATGAATATGGTCTTTCACTACTAGAAAAACAGCCTTTTAGGACGCGCAATTTATGATACGCATTGATTTATAACACGCAAAAGTGGGTAACCTAAAAATAATGTCAGCTCTTTAAAAATTTTAAGGATTTCAGACGCGCATTTTTGCGTACCCTAAAATTAGTGTCAGAAAAAAAACACGGAGGGCGCTTATTATAAAACGTGCGTCATCTAGACATGTCGTTTTATATTTTTTAATGAAACACGGGTTGTTTAGTTGCAAGCGGGAAAAGAAAACCCAAAAATTTGAAAAGCCCGCTTTCCCTTCCCTCTTTCCCTCTTTGCCCTAAGCATTTTTTGACGCATCGTTCTTTATCCCCACAATCGACGATTCATCTTTCCCCTCCCCACATCGACCGCCAACTACTCCCCTCGCACTCCGACCACCGCTATGTGCTCTTTCATGGTCGTCAACCCTCCGCCATCGCCGACCCTCCGCCATCGTCAACGTCGAGACGAGCAGTGGTAGAGAAGATGTTGGAGAGTCCTCTGGTGTCGGGGTTCTCACTAGCAGCTCATCCGGAGATAATGAGAGCAGCACGGTAAACCAAATTTCAGGGGAAAATTTGTCGATCCATTTTTAGGGTTTATTCCCACTCATCATTCCATCGCATCCTCTTTCAATTTCTTAGTGTAATCTCTCTCACAACTCAAAGATAACGATGCATGAACTGAAACGCCGACTTCTTCATTATGGAAGTACGCCGTCTTCATTCTGCTATGGTACGTCAGTAATCCGTCGCCTTCCAAGCAAGATTTCGCATTCTCCATTCAAAGTCGGTGCTAGGGTAAGCTCGATGGAGCTGCTTCGTCGTAATCCCACTGACACCCTCTTCATCTGTTAAGGTTCCTTCTCCGCCAACCTTATCTGATTCTCCGTAATCCCTCTAACACTCCTCGACATCTACGAGGGTTAGTACTTCTCGACTCGGTCCTGGTCTTATTCTTTGCTAGTATGCTTCTTTTCTTCCCCTGTTTACTGTTAAGATATATGTGATTTGTGGTCAATGTTCTTATTGGTCAAAATTGTTTGTCTCAAAGAATTGATCAAAGTTTTGAAAAAGAAAATGATTCCAGTCAGCAAAAGAGATGATATAAAAGGTAAATTTCTTTTCTTTTTAGTGTTTTCTTTCATCAGATTCTCTAAACTCTAAAGATTCTTTTCTTCCTGTTCACAGCCATAGCTTCCATCTCTGCTGGAAATGATGAATTTATTGGAAACTTAATTGATGAAGCCATTGATAAAATCGGTCATGATGGAATAATTTCTATTGAATCTTCTTCATCAAGTGAAACTTCTGTGATTGTTGAAGAAGGAATGAAGGTATCAAGTGAAATACATCTTGTGATATTTTATTCATACATTCTTTTTATCTTTTTCATTTTCATATTTTAATGTCTATCCATGAATACTTTCCCTACAGATCGACAAAGGATACATGTCACCTCATTTTGTCACAAATCAGAACAATTTGTCTGTGGAATTTGAAAATGCTAAAGTCCTGATAACAGATCAAAAGATATCATCTGTGAAAGAAATTGTCCCATTGCTAGAAAAGTGTACTCAATTAAGTGTCCCTTTGCTCATTTTTGCTGAATATATCTTAATCTCAGTTCTTGAAACCCTAATTGTTAACAGAAATCAAGGTTTACTTAGGGTTGCTATTGTGAAATGTCCTGGTGTTGGGGAATGAAAGAAAGCTTTACTTCAAGATATTGCCCTCATGACAGGTAATTTTTGTAACAAAGGTTGTTTACAAGGGCTATATTGATAAGAATGTTTGGGTTGGTCTCAAATCTCTGCCTGTTTCTGTTAAGGTTCTCAACAAGGAGGGTCTTCAAGGCCACAGAGAATGGCTTGTAAGCTCCTCTAGTTCTCTGTCCTTCTAACAACTAGTTCTTTGTTTTGTTTTATCTTCCTTATACCATTCTAATCTATATCTGTAATGGCGTTTTTTTGTTGTAGACTGAAGTTAATTTCCTTGGTCAGCTCAGACATCCCAATTTGGTGAAATTGATTGGATATTGATGTGAAGATGACCACAGATTGCTTGTTTATGTGAGAGAAGGCGTTTTCAACAGTGGGGACACCAGACTATATTGCCCCTGATCTGAAGTGTTGTTGAAGAAAGGACATGGGATGGATTGTGTACAGCCTGGTAATCTTGCAACCAACGTGAAAACCATCTTCACTTGCCTTCTAGACCAAGTTGTTGATCCATGGATTTATTGATTCTCATGTCCATTTGCTTTTTGGAGGACTCCAGGTTCTAAAATTCCTCACCTTCTTCATATGATATACATATAACATTTGTGTTTTGTTCTTTTCAGTTTAGGGCTAAATGCAAATCATAGCAACATACTTTAATTTATTTGTGCATTTCTTTCATCATTATAACATTATACTTTAAATATATTTATCTTACAAGCCATTAATTGTATTTTGAAAATTCTATTTTTTTCTCATCAAGACTTAAATTTTAATGTACTTCCAACTATGATATGCTTATATTACACCTCATCATCCTGTAAGAAAAAACTAAATACAAATTATATAAACTGTAATTAAACCCCACTTAATCACAATTAGTCTTTTCAATCTTAACAGGTATGGCTTTCAAGAATAGATGGCCACATGGGATTGGCTAACTCTTTAGCTTTAAAATTAGTTGGAGTTACAAGTAACATGCATGATCCAGTTGTGGAATTATTAGCATGAATGCAAATGGAGGTATAAATATGGCCTCCAAGTTACAGATATGGAAATTTTATCTAATATGTCTGTTCAATCCGACAAATATGGCCTCCAGGTATTTTTTTTTATTTTTTCATTTATCGTTAAAAATGTGGTTGTAAATATGTAAAATGACTTACTAGTTGAGCAATTTTTTTCATCGGGTTGCTATTAATGCTATTGGAGATAAGGCCAATGACTTGATCTTGGATATGTATAAATCAGTTGTCTCAACATTTGAGTCATGGAAGTGTAGCCAAGTTTGGTGAACAAGGGATTGTTGCTTCAGTGATTTTATATCATAGCTTGTTCAACTCTACTACCTGTGAAAGATTAATACGGAGTAAAATCATTGTTCATATTCATAAAATTAGTTCCCTAGACCAATTTTACTACCTACAGAAACTTTCATCTGATAGAATTTTGTTGTTTACATGTTAACAGAGTAATTGTGTCCTTGAATTATGTATGATCATGAGCCTCTAAATAGAAAGTTCAAGCACTTTATATTCTTGTCAAGTGAGATTAGATCACTGAATTCTTAATTTACAATCTGGATACTATAGGCTGAGGCTGACAGGGAAGCAGGGGGAAACAAGGGTGTTTCTGACAAGCAAATTCGTTTAAAGATTTTCTCTCCTAATGTTCTTGACATAACTCTGGCATCAGAACAATGATAATGTCATGCATTAAGGCTCCCAACTGTTTAATTCTTGTTGTGACACCAACAAATTCAGACCATGCCAACTCAAATGCCCTGTAGATTGCTGGAAATGCTGATCCAGGTGGTATTTGACTCCATGCACGAGAGGCTGCGTACACATGCTGAATCTGTTGCTTCCTTTGGAGGTGGTGCTCGAGAAAAAGCGGTAACGCCTCTCCTCTTTCTTTTTTATATTTCCTTCCACAAAGGAGAATTTTGGAATATAATATTAATAATAATAATACTACTTGAATATGGTTTGTCTGACAGATGATTGAGTCAAGATTTAATGAGCTTCTTGCTCATGCTAAAATACTTCTGAGGAAGAAATGGTTATTTGGAGTACTGGATGACTTTGTCACCAAACAACTACCCCACAATGTTACTTGGGGATTGAGCTTGTTATATGCTATGGAGCACAAAGTTGATCGTTCATTGACTTCCACTCAAGGTCAATTCCCATTCTCAATTCCGATTCATCATGACATTTGTTTACCACAATTGGAAATAGTTTAGTAGTTGTGAATCGATTACCTGAACCTAATGAAATTTAGGCTTTTATTTTTTTGTTTGGATGTGAGTGGATTTTTTTGTTAGCAGGTGAGCTTGCACAAGCATTGCGGTTTTTGGCATCAGTTGTATCTCAAAGCTTCTTGGCCTTTGGTGACATCTTGGAGCTGCATAGAAAGTTCATCGAACTGTCTAGTGGTGTTCATTGGATTTTTGAACTTGAGGAACTTCTTGATGCTGCACAATCTGGTTAGTGTTTTATCTAATCTTCTAGGCTGTTCCTTATTTACTAATAATCTGATGGAAATTGCAGATGAAAATGCCGGTACTTCATCAAAGTCCAATGAGGAATCTGAGGATGTTATCTCTTTTTCGGAGGTTGATATTATCACGCCAACACAGAATTTATTAGCCAGAAAGTTGACTTGCGAGATAGTATCAGGGAAAAGCCTTCTTCTTACCGGTTAGTGTTATAGTCAGAGATAATGATTATAAATACTTGTGAGGATTAAAAAAAATAAAAATATAAAATGAAGATATAGTTACTGCTACTACGAGTAAATAAGAAATTATTTGGTACAAGAGAATGTAAGTTTCTATGCCATATCAATGTTAAGTTGAAATTAGAAAGTATTGTGTTCATTTCTTAGAACAAATATATAATTATTCATATATTACTTTATCAGAAAGGATGTTTATGATCTTCATCAAGGTGTGCTAGGTAAATGCTATATTTAACATTAAGATATATTAGAAAATGAGAAATGAGTTAATTTATTTATTTTGATTTGTTGTTCATCAAGCTGGTTTGTATGCATCCTATTCTATGTCCAACACAACAAGGATGATGATGGTGCATTTATATCTTCTTAAACTGTTACCTAATAATTTTTCTCATCTTATTACATCATATTTCTTCATTTTTAACTCCTTAATTTATCAATCTAATCATTATTAACTTCATTCTTGTAAAACCAGGTGTCTATGCTATATAATGATTGGTTTTCCACTTTTCATGGTGGAAGTGGACAGAGGGTTTCTCTTTCACAGTTTGTAACATCTTGTATTCAACTGTATGGATTCGGGAACATCCTTGCTTACTGGTCCAACTGTATGTATCTCACGTGAAGCTTCTATTAGTACTTTTAATCTCAGGGATTTCAATTTTTTCATATTTCTTGAATAATAAATATTATGAAATATTAGCAATGTGTTACATTTACTTAATATTGGAATGATTATTTGTATTTGACATATTAGTGCAATGGATTATTCTTAGTGTTTATGGTATTTTATTTTGTATTATTAGACTTTTAATGTGTTATTTAATTTGAAAATTAGTAAATCTATCAAAAAATATATAATTTTAAAAATATTTACAATTATGACATGCAAAATTAGTAAATCTATCAAAAAATATATAATTTTATTTGTATTGTCTTGCTTTAGGACAAGGGCATCCATGATACGCAAAAATGCTTGTCATCTTTATTTATAACATGGCCTTTCTTGACAGGGGCTTCCTTGATACGCATTGCGTGTTATAAACACGCGCGTCGTAAGGTTACGATACGCAAATGCGTGTCGTCTTCCTTTATGACAGGGCCTTCCTTGATACGCATTGCGTGTCATAACCGCGCGTCGTAAATGCGCGTCGTCTATAGACGACGCGCAAAAGCGCGTCGTCTCTCTTTATGACAAGGCCTTCCTTGACACGCATTTGCGCGTCGTCTGAGCGTTTTACGACGCGCAATGAGCATCGTAAAAGGCCTTTTTTCTAGTAGTGTTTTGACCTTAAACTCAAATTAGGGGCATTGCACTCCTTTGTTGCAAACATTTAGCCTCCTAGCACTTGACCAAAAGTGTTATCCTCGCGCTTAAATGTTATTACTTGTATAATTAGTGTTATAATCACTAATTATTTATATACATATGTTTTCATATGTAACTAGGATCATTGTGTGTGTCTAAGTCTCCACTTGACACCAAGCACTTGTCCGATTCTTCCGTACGATAACAGTCCGTTCAATTCCAGTCACTTACTGCAGGTGAGTTCATACCCCTTATCTAATGTTTTAAACTCTTTTTAAATGTTTTATGGGGGGGGGGGATACAAGTAGAATCATGCTACTTATTATGTCAATCACATGTGATTAGTAAGTAGGATTATATTACTTATTACATCAATCACATGTGATTAATATACAACATTCAAATGATTTGGCTACTCATTAGCCGTTTTACCAAACAGTTTTCTTCAAATGACTTTTTATAAACATTTTATATGTTTTAAACTCCTTTTTACACTGTACAACTTACTCCGTACATTACCTTTCAAACTTATGTACAACTGTGTTTCAAACAAATGTTTCTTATAGTTAAACTGTTTTATTAAACTTATGCCTTCAAATTGTTTTATAGATTGACATCAAGTCGATCTTTTCTTAAAATAATACTTATATTTCAAATGTTTACAAAACTTATTTATGCTTTTATATTATAAATTGCATGCCTCTATATGTATAGTTATATAAGAAATGTTTAAAGACTTAGGAGGCTATCCACCCTATTTCCTTTTCGCGCCTTGAGATGTGGTCTGGTGGGATATTGGGTATTCGTCCGAAGGTCGTTTAAATATTAGTTATATATCATGTGTACGTATATAGTCATAAAAGGTCCTTCCAGTTCAACATATGCGCTTGGGTAGCAAGGGTATACATCCATGTCCACACGTACCACTTAGCTTACTAGAAAGCTACCATATGGGTAGTTCAGAAGATGCTAGAACCATTACTAGAACACGATATCATACAATCAGTCAGTTCATTCATGAGTCAATACTTTCTAGAACTTTTCACTACATTACATATACAACTATACTAAGACGAGAACATATACAGCTATACTAGAATGATTACATTACTATACTTGCTAGATAGAGAGAACACAGATTACAGCTAGCACACATAGAACATTACAATACACTACTGTACTATTACATGATCGCTCTTACTTGAGTACAATTACATGATCACACTTACATGAGTACACTTACATATACATAGAATAAACATCACTAGGTGCTATAGCACGGAACCAGTTCAGGATCTAACTATACTAATGAATCACACCGCAATTGTGATAGTTATATCGAGTATACATGATCATTCAGTAATGTGGATGCTCACGGCTTGCATTCAGGAAGGGGTGGTGGGTAGGTCCCAAAATCCCTTTGATAGGGAGCGTATAGTCTGGGATCTAGACATCACATTATACCTTATCCCTCAAATAAGGCAGTTGAGTACCGATGTAGTTATTTATTTTAAATACTACAGTACTTGGAAATATTACCCTAGATTTAAGGTAATAGGTACGATTGTAGTTCTTACAGCACTACACTATAGTAGTATTTCATTTTCCCATTACATTCACTTCGTGAACATTTACACGACGCACATTAATGTAGAAACTATATTTTTGGATAATGATAGTTATACTTGGGAAAATCCATACTCTTACAAGAAACATACATTCAGAACAGTTAGGTCTTGGTAGAAGACTACATTCAGAACAGTTAGGTCTTGGTAGAAGACACCTTCATATACTAGTAGGAATCATAGGGATTCTAGGGTTTTTCAAACACTTACAGTTCATATACACTTTCAATACTTACAATACATGTACTTACATATTCTTACATTCAAAATAAGACACTAAATACTTATGATCTCACCAGCTTTAAAGTTGATACTCACTTTCAAAATTACTTGTATCGTCAGGTCATCACAGACAGGTACCGATGCAAGGAGAAAGGAAGATAGAGCTTGTTCAAGACTTATCTTTCATTTTGATTTATGCTTTAGTGTTTATCAAATTTTGACAGAACACATTTGTATAATAATTATATTATTAATGCAATGGATGATGTTGTTGCTTGTTTACTACTTTACATTGTTGTTGATATTATACATGACGTCCTCCGCCCCAGAACGTTTCCGCCATTCCTAGTTTTGGGGTGTGACAGATTGGTATCAGAGCATTGTTTATAATGAATTAAGTATATCAACCCATAAAAGATATACTAACTATAAATACATAAGGGATTAAAAATACTCTAACCAAGAGTTTATACTTTAAATAGTAAAATATTTAAGTAAGTATACGTGCTGCATTCATACTAAAACCAGTGTCACTAGGACAGTACAAAAGAATTACGATTCTTGGGCAACACAAGTGGGCTTAGAGACATATGGTCAAAACTGGGAAGATATAGCCTGATCACCTATATTATCCGAGGGTTGACTAGCATGTGCCTAAGTTTAACTATGGGGTTGCAACAATGCTAAAATCTTACCAACCGTACCACAATGAGAACAATGGAACATAACATTAAAATTTAAAATATTATATGAGTATTTGTTGTTACTATAAGTACTTTATACTTGAGAACTAAAACGGGATCTTCATTACTAAGTTGATAGTTGCTAAGTGGATACACTAAGGCTACATGTAATTAGGATGTTATAGACTTAGAATCTGTGATAATTTTTCCTTACCCCTATTCTGTGTGAATTTGGAATTAAGGTCACTTATTCGAAGGTCTATCTTGTTTAGATTACACATAGCTGGTATGCACTTCACAAATAGCGATGTAACTGATGAATATTTTCTAAATAATTATACATAGATAGTTCGTCTAATAATTATTCTCTTACTCTAAATTCTCGCATAGAAAACATAACTCGACTCCATCCCCTTGACAACCAGTATCTTCCGAATGAAGTCATAGCTGGTTGGTTTGGAGAATAACTAGAGAATGATCATCCTTTTCCTCTTGAATGATCACCATGACGAAGACCTTTCGTATGATGCTAACTCCGAACCAGAGTTTGAAAACCTACCCCGAGCACCTCCTTTCCAATTCCTAACCCTAGTCCGGCTTTTCATGGCCCGACCCCCCCCTGAGTGAGTGGAATGCTTGGAAACATGGATCCAAGAACAAGATCAGCCTATGCTATTTGATGGCGACCGAAGCTTTTACGACTTGAGCAATGAGGGCTTAACAGATATAGTCTTGCCAATCTTGGTCCGTAGAGAGGCCCGAAATGAGATTCAAGGCAGGACAGCCCTACATCGGATTTCAGAAATAGTCGCCTATGCTAGAATGCATACCCTCCACACCATTCATCTAGGAGATTCACACGAGAGATCAGAGAGAAGCCATGAAACCCTGCTGCAAGCAATGGCTGAATCACGAGCCGAAGTCTTAGAACTCCGAGTACGCCAGATGGTGCGTGAAAGACACCTACATGACATGGAACGTCAATTCGTTGAACTACGAGTTCACCAGAGGGATGACCGTCGCTAGTAGTAGACGCTTTACTTTATTTCCCTTATAAAAAGGAATCGTATTTTTCTGTCTATGCTGGATGTGGCATTTTCTATGAAATTATCTTGTACCGTAAGTACTTTAGTTAGGTCTTTATGCTGTCAGGAACTATCTTTAGTGGATATGATGTAAGACCTTTACAAGGTCATTTTCCAGAATCTTTACATCGTGAATATCACAGATATTGACAGCCGGCTAACTTCTGTGTCACTCTTCATTCAAGTACTATTGTCATTCATTCATAAGAGTCTATCTGAATCATGCTTTAGTCAAATCATTGGACTATAGCAATTTATCTCCGGAGACACTTCCAAGTCTCTTTCAGTGGTTGGATCTTGTTATTCACCAACCCACGATACCTCAGCTCGAACGACAAACATCTTGAGACCATTCTACGAACTTACTTCCACCCGTGACTAGGACTGCATCATGGGGATGTAGGTCCAACTTTCGAGAACATACTTCTACTCTTTACATGAACAATCTAAGTACATCAGGGTCAACCAGAATCGCTCACAAAATCTTTATTCTTTCGTGTTAACAGAATCATGTTGTCATCCGGAAACAAGCAGCCAAGCAACAAGACCTCTACTTTTCCTATGGACGCCACTACTTTTCAAGCCACCGTTATAGCTACCGTGATGGCTGCTGTGACAGCAGTCCTGACAAACCGCAACACTGCCAATGCAGACAAGGCTGAAAAAGTAGTTGAAAATCGTATTAATGATCCGGGGAATCAAC